TATCATGTCACCGTAGTTACAAACCCCAAGTAATGTACCTCTGACGACACACATTATTATGGGAAATACTAGTAACACTTAAAATATTCTGCGAGAGCCCGTCAGAAAGAGACTTAGCGACGTATTTGACATTTCGCCTAGAGCCCCGACAAAGTTGCCATCTCGTACTTGAGGCTCGCTAAACAAAATTGGATTTCAATAGATTGCGCCTTCTAGGACCTGTACGCAACCCAGCGTCCATCCTTTTTCCACTTGCAAGTTATCATTGTGTCATCACAGGTGGCGCTATTCAGCATCGGTTGGTTAGTTGGTTAGTTATATCGGTTGGTTTGCGGCGATCTGAGTGTCAATGGCAAGTTATTTAATGTACAACTTTGGTATATAGCGTATATGCTATGTATTCAGTGTCCACATTTCGGCAATTGCCGTTACAAATTGACAATATTGAATCAGGAAATGTTTTATTAAAAATAAAAATCAGAAAAAAAATATAGGTAGAGCTATTGCCGCTTTAGGCAAATATTGAAAAATTAGTTTGTCTTTTATCTACCCCCTCCTGTACAGTGGACTGTTCTTCTTGCCAATTACCTCCGCCTCCTATTTACAGAATGGAATGATCCACTCATCGATGACCTTTATAGACATGAGTGTGCGCACGGTTACTAAAAAGTAGTAACCGTGGTGTGCGTTTTCCCGTATTACGTTCTGTAATTTCAGTATTGATAATCTATTCATTGAAATTCTCTTCAGTTGTGACAAGTTTATCCATGGAGGTAGAATAGATATCTACTAGTACCTCCATGGTTCATCCACAGTCCCTTTATCAGAGAGGGACTGTGGTTTATCTTTTCCAATTTTGCTCTGTTTTTTTTTTTTTTTTTTTTTTTTTTTTTTTTTTTTTTGGAATTTAAATCCGTTTTGGGCTTGGAATAATGGCTTTTGCTTTTTGGAACATTACCTTACTTTGTTTGTGTACGTTATCCATTCTACAGGAGGGAGTAAATAAAAAGACTATAATTTGATATTTTCATATTTGTCGACTCTCTGTGATTACCGTAATTATAATCTATCAAAGACAACTAATAAACAGACTGGCAACGCGGATATTTCTTTTGATATAACGTGGGTCTCGTGTTTACTTTTGCGATAACGTTTTAAGCTTATAAACAATTGGGGAGATAAGAAAATTTCCACGAAGTCACGCGAAAATGCATGACCTCGCGAGATACTGCGGTGTTTCAACAGGAAGTGGTGCAGAAGATCAGACCAATGTTTCATATGATTCTTGTGTTCCCACAGACATTCATGAAACAGGTCCGGATAACAATAAAACAGAAAGTATAACATTCAGTTGCAGGTCGATCTAAATTATTAGTTGTTTTAGAATCTATTGATTACAGTAGTCATCGTGCCACGCATGCGCGAGGTACATGTATATCAGTCTCATATAAACAAAGATGGCGACTTTGACAGTTGCGCAGATCAAACTGATACGTTTTCAAGCTTTAATTAGGTGAGTTGACAAAGGAGTCACCGGCGGTATTCAGTGCAAGTCATACTTGTGATTAGAAGAGCGCATTAGATTGTGGGAAAACCAATGTTTATCAATACAAATGTCGCACATGCGCACATTTGAGCATAGTCGCTTAGTTTAATCATGGAGCTATTAGCTCCATGGTTTAATTTTCACGAATTTGTCAAGGAAACAATGAGTTTTATTGTTATTTTACATGTTCACCCAGATTTAATTTAGCGAATTTCACTTATCAGTGAAACTAGCGAAATTAAAACCCAGTGAATTTTCAATGCATTCACTGTAATAATACATTGTGATTTCCTCATTTGAACCTCAGACTAGTAATACAACAGACTCGCAACGCGGCGTTTTCTTTTGAAGTAATGCGTGCCGCGTTTGTTTAGGTTATCAGTTCTTATCGTACCGAGTAAACGTTGCTGAGCAACAAGATTTTCATTAGATCTCACAAAATAACGCGAGATCTATTTATATTACAATCAACTATCGCGATGCATCGCGAGACATGAAGACAGGAAGTGGCATAGACGACAATAGTTGTCAGTAAACTTCGAAAATGGCATTTACGGAAAAAATTGGTGAATCTGAGGACGATAATCACGAGTGGGAAGCTATTTTAGGAGAACATTTTGACGAAGATAATGACATTTCCTGAAATTAAGAATACAAAGAAATATACTGGGCTATTTTTAAACAAAACTATGACGGAAGTCAAACAAAATCAGTGAAACTCGAAATAGCAACAATACTGACACACAATAGAAAATTGAAACAGTCACTGAACAACGCGTAGATCGCGTACTATGAAGTCGAACGCGACAAAAATAACACACCTCCAGTTTTTACCGTTACCGGATCACGCTGATACGCTGAGAGATATCATATACATGACACTAGCTATCCCATGTTTCGGCATCCCGGAACACAAAAACAAAACGGGTAACACACAAAGAAGTATGATCGTTCAAAACGCAGCGATATGCTCTCTCCGAAAAAATATTGGAAACCTTCCGCAAAACCCGCACCAGCGAGAAATATCGTTTCAAAGTTGCTCATTATATATTCAAAACTATTTGAGGTAAACACTAACACATTCAGTTACTTGTAACTCCCCTGATTC